ACGCCTCCGCCTCCGCCTCCCCCAGACGAGGAGGAGGATGACGAGGAGCGGAGGAGGAGCAAAGGAGGTTGTGGAGGCAGGGGGGATGAGCAGAAGGAGACGAAAGGATGGACAACTTGTGGATGGACTGGCGTGGGAGGGTGATGTCGAGGAGGAGGGTCGACACAAAAGACAACAGCCCTCTGCCCGCGCAGAGCGACAGGAGCAGGAGAAGAAACATGACGAGGACAAAGAGGATGAGAGGAAAGTGAAACCACACGAGGACGAGATGGAGAGGGAAGAACCAGGAACCAGGAGGAGCAACTAGAGGAGGAGGAGGAGGAGGAGGAGGAGGAGGAGGAGGAGGAGGAATAGGAGGAGGAAGAGGTGGAGGAGAAGAAGGACGCCCCCACCCTGGCTTGTTCCCAACCATCCTGTGGTGTTGGGTCCTCCTTTTGAAGAGACGTCGCCCGCGCGCTCTCCCGCTCCTCCTCCTCCTCCTCCTCCTCCTCCTCCTCCACCCCCTTCCTCTCGTCTCCCGTCATCATCGTCATCATCAGCATCAGCATCACCATCAGCGTGATCATCATCATCATCATAATCATCATCATCATCATCATCATCATCATCATCATCATCATCATCATCATCATCATCATTGTCATCATCATCATCATCATCATCATCATCATCATCATCAGCATCATCATCATCAGCATCAGCATCATCATCATCAGCATCATCATCATCAGCATCATCATCATCACCGTCATCATCATCATCATCATCGTCACGACCGTCATCATCACCAGAATCATCACCCATGTCGGCACACCCCTCACACGCTTCGTGGCCCCATAAGGAGCTCCACCGAAGGCCCCAGTGCCACCACCCGCAAGCGTCCCCCACACCCATTTCGGCACATCCCTCACACGTTTCGTGGCCCCATAGGGAGCTCCACCGAAGGCCCCAGTGCCACCGCCCGAATGCGTTCCCCACATACATTTGGGCACATCCCTCACAAATTCCGTGGCCCCATAGGGAGCTTTACCGAAGGCCCCAGTGCCACCGCCCGCATGCGCCCCCCACACCCATTTCAGCACACCCTTCACACGTTTCGTGGCCCCATATGGAGCTCCACCGGAGGCCCCAGTGCCACCGCCCGCATGCGTCCCCCACACGAATTTCGGCACACCCCTCACAAATTCCGTGGCCCCAATGGAGTTGCACCCAAAGCCCCAGTGCCACCGCCCGCATGCGTCCCTCACGCCTATTTCGGCACACCCCTCACACGTTTCGTGGCCTCACAGGGAGCTCCACCGAAGGCCCCAGTGCCACCGCCCGCATGCGTCCCCCACACCCATGTCGGCACACCCCTCACACGCTTCGTGGCTCCATACGGAGCTCCACCGAGGGCCACCGCCCGCATGCGTCCCCCACACCAACTTCGGAACACCCCTCACAAGTTTCGTGGCCCCATAGGGAGCTCCACCGAAGGCCCCAGTGCCACCGCCCGCATGCGTCCCCCCCCGCCCCCCCCCCCCCACACAAACACACACACACACACACACACACATGTCGGCACACCTCTCACACGTTGCATGGCCCCGTACGGAGCTCCACCGAAGGCCCCAGTGCCACCGCCCGCATGCGTCCCCCACACACATGTCGGCACACCCCTCACACGTTTCGTGGCCCCACAGGGAGCTCCTTTGGAGGCCCCAGGCCACCGCCCGCATGCGTCCCCACACGAATTTCGGCACACCTCTCACACGCTTCCTGGCCCCATATGGGGGCTCCACCGAAGGCGCCAATGCCACCGCCACCATGCGTCCAGAAAGCCGAGAGAGACGGGGAGAACATGATCTATCTGAAGTGCTTGCCGCTCGGGTTCTGGGCGCGCATGGAGAAGTGCGCGAGCGCGCCCTTCGTGGGCGTCCTGAATCGCCACGACGACCCTCACGGGGGACCTCGCGGGCCCGCTGGTGTTCATCGAGCCCCGCGCGTCGGAACCGTTCACCTTCCGCACCTCCAAGGTCACCCGGGCGGGCTTCCCGTTCTCGCGCGGCAGGGTTACCACCGCGGCGGCGTGCCAGGGGCGCACCGCGCGAGAAGGCGACGGGGCGAGGGAACGGCGCCCCTGGGCAGTCTACAGCCGAACCTACTGGGCGCGAGCGGTCTGCAGCTGGACCATTTCTCGGCCCTGTGGACTCTCGCCCTGGGCCGTATGCTGTCCGGCGCGCTGCCCCCTCGGCCGACGTCGCCCAGGCGTGATCCTGGACTGCGGCCGCCACGAGGTCGGGAACGGCAAGAAGGAGGGCGACGACTGGTGGCTGGAGCTCTACGCGCTGCTCTCGCGCGCCACGCGCCACGAGGACCTCCTGCTCACGCGGGCGCCGCGCGTCGAGTTCTTCCCGGCAGGGCCGCCGGAGGGCTTGCGGAAGCAGCTGGGGCAGTTTGCGGCGCGCGCGAAGCGGCGCAGGAGGGAGGCGACGGCCCTCGCAAGGGAGCTCGGCTTCACCGAGTTCATCCGCGAGGCCTGACCTGAGGAGCGCCCCCCCCTCCCCCCCGAGCCGCGCCTTCTCTCGACTGCCCAACTAATTGTTTGGCCTCGCGCCGCGGACGACCCGCGCGCGCCGCTGGGGCCTTCCCGGGGCGACCCGCGCGCGTCGCAGGAACTCCGCGCTGCGTTTCTCCCTGCGCCTCGCTCGCCCGCCCTCGCTCTGCCCAGCGGTCGGAGCCTCGCCCGCTATCGGCAAGCCAGCTAGCTAGCTAGCTAGCTAGCTAGCTAGCTAGCTGACTACCTCTCTTTGCTCCGCGCAGCGGACGACCCGCGCGCGTCGCCGGGGCCCTTCCGGGGCGACCGGCGCACGTCACGGGGGCTCCGCGCCGCGCTGCGCCCGCAGCTTTGGACTTTGGAGTGCGCGGGCAAAGAGGGGGGAAAAGCAGGGAAGGAAACGGGCGCGATCCTCGTGAGGGGCGCGCCGACATGGGCGACGCGGCGCGCGGGCGCTGCCGCTGGGGCCCCCGCGGAAGCTTTCTGCGGCGGCCACGCTCAGCGTCACGAGCGCACAGACAGGCGTACCCGAACCATATACGTTTCCCCGAAGCGTAGCCATGATCGCTTTCGTGCAAATATATTCGCTCGCGCGCAGATTCGCTCACACTTAGACTCATCCGCGCTCAGATTCACCCGCGCTCAGTCTCCCGTAATGCGACCAATCGTTGTCCTTCGTGCTGTATACCCCGCCACATTCTCGCACGCCCCTCATACGGTTTGTGGGCACCACCGAAGAAGATACTCACAATTGTTGTACTCACAATTGCATATGGTTGGGTCCTTCGCCGGGGCAGTTTTTTGATTCAGAGCTTGCACCGCCGAGTTTTCACGACAGTGCCCTCTCAAGGGCAGACATGCTTGGAACAGGCCGTTGGCGCGCATCTTCGCTCAGCGAGCTTGAGACAATGAGGGAGGAGGAGGAAGAATACGGAAAAGAAGACGGATAAATAATAGTAGTAGTAGTAGTAGTAGTAGTAGTAGTAGTAGTAGTAGTAGTAGTAGTAGTAGTAGTAGTAGTAGTAGTAGTAGTAGTAATGATGATAATAATACTACGAATAATAATATTACTCTCAATAGTAATAGCAATCATAATAATAAAGATAATAATAAGACATATACTAATAAGAATAATAATAATGATAATAATAATAATGCGAATAAGATTAATAATAATCAGAAAAGGAATAATAATCATAATAATAATAATAACGAGAGGAGGAGGAGGAGGAGGAGGAGGAGGAGGAGGAGGAGGAGGAGGAGGAGGAGGGGCGGGGGACACTCCCCGCCCTGCTGTCTACGACGACTCGGGTTCGGGCGACGCCCAGCGACCAAAGGACCAACGTGCAACCCAACCATCTGCTCTTTCTGGTCTGGGCGCGGCCCGGTCTACAGAGGGCGCGGCCGACGGCCGGCTCCCCGCCCTGTCGCTTGCGACGACAATTGTTTGGGCGAAGCCCAGTGGCAGGAGGGTCCGGGGCGACTGTCGATGAGTCGGCTGCACCGCTCCAGAGTATCCCACAAGGGGAGCGTGCAGTGACCATTGGGTTTTTGCTTGTAGTGGTCCAGGCGCCGCCCAGACGGGCACCGCCAGCCCGACGGGACCGACTCCGCGCGACAGCGCGGGTTTCTCCAGAGTTCTCTGGAGCACCGCGGGCATTGCTTGCAGTGACCCCTGAGTCTGCTTGCAGTGACCCACACGCCTGGAAGGGCATCGCCGGCCCGACAGAGTTGGAGGAGGAGGACGAGGAGGAGGAGGAGTGCTCACGCTGGGAGCGGGCCTCCAGACGCCCACCATGACACCGCCAACTCGTCAGGATCTTTTCAGTCGCCCGTGCTTGCTATCCGGCCCCTTACGAGGGCGGCGTGCACGGCGCGGCACGCGGCGGGGCACGCGGCATACAGCATGGCACGGCACTGGGCACGCGGCACGGCCCACGTCACGGCACGGAGGAGGAGGAGGAGGAGGAGGAGGAGGAGGAGGAGGAGGAGGGGGAGGAGGGAGGATGATGTGGGTGAGGTAGGAGGAGGAGGAGGAGGAGGAGGAGGAGGATCAGTGTAAACCCAAGAGTCATCAACGATGTTGGAATTAACCCTCCCTCCAAGCTCCTTCTTCGTAGGCTCCTACAACGGTTCATTTCCATTGAGGGAACTGCCTCGCTGGAAGACAACCGTTTGAAGATCCTGAAGCATGTCAAAACATTGTTCCCGGGATGTCAACGCCATGTATCAACCTGACTGCTGCGTCTTGACGATCCGGAATCGTGCCAGAGCGTTATTTTGGGGACTTCAACACCGCGAAACAACATAATTACTGCACCCGCATAATCCTGAATCCTGAGGAGGAGCAGGAGGAGGAGGAGGAGGCGGAGGCGGAGGCGGAGGCGGAGGAGGAGGAGGAGGAGGCGGAGGCGGAGGCGGAGGAGGAGGAGGAAGGAAGACGAAGAAGAGGAACATCGCCCAGGCACAGAGCGCCGTCCTGGCGCACTTCTGTACGCGCGCCACATCTGCAGAGGTGTTGCGAGGCCGCCCACTCTTCGAATAGAAGGGGATGCACTACCTTGCGACCTTCTGACCGTCCTGTGTTACAGTCAACCCGCATAGTAAGGATGGGCAACTTTCCCAAGGGTATCCTTGCGTCCTTGCCTCCTTGGTCCATCCTTGGCCACTTTCGTTGGCCGTGCCCCGCTCGGAAAGCTTCAAAACGGCCGTCCAAGGCCCACGCATTCTTATCGCGCATCCTTATGATACGGGCCGACTGTACTGTACCTGGGCTGTGGGGGGCCGGTCGCAGTTCAAGTATGGGTGGCAGTTCTGAGTGCTGCGGGTTCCTGAGACGTGAGCCTCAGGGTAGCGGGTGGCCGGCGGGCTGGCCAGATGCCCGAGAGAAGCCGGAAAAAACATTAAACAATGAAAAGTATGGCACGCCAGGCGCTTTTGGGGTAAATCAACAGCGGGCGACGGATCTTGTGGCTTTCGGCACATCCAGCACGGCGCCTGGGTTGCAGGTCAGAGACCCCGTGAATGTTTGTGAGGATCTCTTTGGAGGCCTCTCAGAAGCCTCTTGGAGGCGGTGTGGGGCGGCGTCTTATCCTGCAAGCCGACAACTAACAAATCAACAGTCCAGCCTTGGGGCACTCCAGTACGTGCTGAAGACACGACGGTGGATATGCCCGATTCCGTCGTTTTGGAATATTATGGGGATGATTTCCGCGACCTCCTAGAATATCCGTGGGGCGCCTTGGATACCGAGTGATTTTTTGGCACCAGTCCCAAACCCCCCTCTGAATCGACCAGGACGGCTCCTCTCGGGAGGGGCTCTGGAAGGGGCAAACATACCACGCGTTTGTAACCCTAGGGGATCGGCAGAACGTCGTTGGATCTATGCCACACGCAAATGAGCCGGGCTCATGGATTGAGGAGAAGGTGGTGGGAAGGAAGATGCGAGGAGGAGCAGTACGAGAAGGAGTGGGAGATGGTTGACTGCCAGGATGCTTTAATTCCCGCAGTGCCCAGTGTTTTCTTCTGGTAACCGTGTGCATACAAAGTTGTTCTCCAAATGTCGGCGCAAGCATTCCGTAGCAATTTGGGCACGAGCCAACCAGGACGAATCAGTTTGGGCCCAAGTTGCTGTGGCCCCTGGGTGAGATGGTGAACCGATGCGCAAAACAAGCTGGATGGAGTCTGCAGGAGATTGTGATAACTTGCAGCTTGGTTTCATTATTTGTTCTTTTTGCACGATACATAACGTGCGAGACGGCGAGGACACCAGGCATATTCATGCAAAGTAGTCTCTTTGGTAATCCAAAATTGCATGAGCCCTCGACAGAACATTCTTCGGGTTCCAGCCATGGTCGCAGCGATTCCTCGGTCGGTCGCAGTGAATCGTGGTGGTGCTGGAAAGCCAACGAGACATGTGACAATATGAGGGCGTATGTCCGTCTGAACGGCCTGACTCACATTTTCTTTGGAGCTTCCGCTAAAACTGGGGGGTCTTCAGTCAAGTATTTCTTCTTTGGGGACCAGCCGAATGACAATCTTGCTCGTTCAGTGTTTGGTGCGCAGTGTCAGTGGGCCGTTACAGGCTCTCACATGTGGGGTGGCCTGGGCCACATTCTGAAGAGACCTTGCGCGCGGAAGACTCTTTTCTTGTTGCCCGTGCGTGAGGAAATGTCATGGTTCAGGTCTGCGCTCAAGCAAGTGTGTTGGCACGACGGCTTGGAGGCAGGCGAACGAAGTTGTAAAAACAAGATGTGCCCCCAAACATGCGGGAATCATTCGTGGCTGGCAATGGCCCTCCAAGAGCGCTTGGTTGAATTGCGTCTTGGCCCTCACAATTGGATACAAGAGTGGATGATTCGCAGTCCGAAGTTTCACACCTTCTTGCTGGATTACCGCTCAACCGATAATGTGCTAGCTTGCCTTCCACCGATGGGCTTGAAGATAGACAACTCGTCCGACCTTGCGCGTCATGTTTACAAACGGGGCAACGTGAGCATACGTGTAAACAATGATTTTAGGCCACCAATCAACATTTCGGACGATGCAATCCGTGCCAACTACAACACGAGACGACACACACCTTATTGGTTGCAGCCTTACGCCAAGGCCATCAAGGAGTCGGATTGCGAGGTTGCTTCTGCATTAGGGCTCCAGGTCGCTAAACACCGGCAGCGGTGAGCTGGACATGCCTTCGCACGAGCACTCATCGGATTCGGTTGGCTTTGATGCCTCTGTTGCTGTTGTTTGCAGGTATGGTCGCAATGACTCCCCAGCTGGTCACATGGAGCAGCATGCTTCCAGCAGCGCTGGATTGCACCAGCCCTCGCCCGAACGCTCTGCGGATTCGGTCGCCGCTGATGCCTCTGCTTCATGTGATTCCAGCACTGACCGCAATGATTATTCGGTGGACGTCGCACCACCGATCCCTTTGGGGCGTCGCAGGCGCTCTGGGCGACCTGGTCGACGCCGTGTTGCGGCCGGGTTGTTCCAGTCTTGGAGATCTTTGGGGCTGTTTTGCGGCCTGGAGGGGTAGCGAAACAACTGACGTGGGTGTGCCCCCAGGGAGTCGGGGTATGTCTGATTGCACGCGATATATTGAGCCGAGACGCCCCAGGAAACGCAACATATAGTTGACGCTTCGCGTATCCCACCAGCCCCTGTTGTAAATTAGTAGGCCCGCGCCCCGGACTTACGACTCGCCGTGTGCGCTCTCGCCCGCGGCCGCGACCAAAAAAGTATCCCACCAGCCCATGCAGAAACGATGCCCAGGGAAGTTGAGGCAATCAGGAAAGCGGGGGAGCATGCCGAAGAACAAAGGGCGGGGGAAACCGGTCATCGACCCCAAGGGAAGGAGGCTGGAGGAGGAATCGCCGTCGTTGGAGGAAGAAGAGAAGGAGGAGGAGGAGGAGGAGGAGAAGGATGAGGAGAAGGAGGAGGAACAGGAGAAGCAGGAGGAGCAGGAGAAGCAGGAGGAGCAAGAGCAGGAGGATAATGAGGAGGAGGAGATGGAGTAGGGCGAGGACGGTACGACGAGAAGCAGGAGAAAGAGGAGCAGGAGGAGGAGTAGTAGGAGGAGGAGGAGGAGGAGGAAGAGGAAGAGGAGGAGGAGGAGGAGGAGGAGGAGGAGGAGGAGGAGAAGGAGGAGGAGGGGGAGGGGGAGGAGAGAGGAGAGAGGAGGAGGAATAGATGGATGAGGAAGAGGAAGAGGACGGCGAACATAAGAGCCAGAAGGTTCTTGAATGCCTCGCGGAGTCTCCTCGGATGTGTTTTGGGAGGCTTTTGGGGGCCTATCGGAGCGTCTGAGGGACATCTTGGCGGGCCCAGGGCCGTCTTTTAGAGTCTTGGGTGCCTCGGGGATCTTCTTGACGCTTCTTGGGGGTCTCTTGGAAGCCTCTTGGAGGCCTCTTGGAGGCCTCTTGGGCTCCTCTTAGGGCTGTCTGGGCGCCTCTTGTGACCCTCTTGGGGCACTCTTGGGGGCTTCAGGGGCGCTCTTGGGGCCACCTTGAAGAACAGCGATCAAGACATATGAAAGCTTCAATTAGCCTCCCCCCTCGGGAGCCCCAAACATCGCCTTTGGGGGCGCTCTTGGGCGTTCGTGGGGGCGTCTTGGAGCTCTCTTGAGCCTCTCTTGGGGCCCTCTTGGGCCATCTTGCAGCCATATTTAGGCCTCGGATGGCCATTGGGAGCGAAAAGGCGAGAATGCAACACACATTGATTTTCCCAAGGTTTTGGACGGATGTGGGCCTGTTCGGGGCCTCCTTGGGGAGCTCTTTGACCACTTGGAGCTGTCTTGGGGCCTGTTGGAGCATCTTGGAAATCATCTTGAGCGATCTTGCGCTATCTTGAACCATCTTGGAGGCCATCTTGGGCTCTCTGAGGCCGTCTTGGAACCATCCTGGGCGAACACATACCCTCTGACACCTCGCGACCGCCCCCGTCCAGGTCAAGGAGGAAGCTACCCACCCACCCGCAAGCCGTGTTGCCCACTCCCACCCGCCCTCCCAACACATACGCAACACGCAGATGTCAGCATATCGCGTAATAACGCCGCAGACGCCACGGGTTTGGAAGCCTCTTGGCCCCAGCTTTGAGCTTTCTTGGCCAATTTTGGAGCCATTTGGCAGGATTCGAAAGCCCATCGGAAACGATAAGGCGAAAAGGCAGCAGCCACTGATGTGTCAAACCAGTCGGTCGACCACCTGCGCCCAGAGGGCAGGTGGGATCTGATGGCGCCCCCGCCGTCCTTGCGAAATACCCATGCAAAATGGTCGCGGAGCGGCCGCGCGCGCTCCAAATTTGGAGGTCGAGTGCGTCTTGTATTGTTGCGGACAGGGATGGTGGGTGGCCCTCATGAGGTCATCATGGTTCCTGGTTGGCTGCCGGCCGGGTAGAGGAGGGGCTGAATATCCATGGGGAACAGTGATAAACCCTTCCCCGAAGGGGAAGAAGGGGGTTGGAAGAGGAGCCTCCCTAAATCACCTTCGCCCAGAGGGCTGGTGTGTTTCCAAACGCCACGGACTTTTGTAGGTCGCTGGCCTTCCTGGATGGCCTCCTGGCCTTTCTCGTGGATATCTTGGAAGTCTAGTGAAGCTCCTTTGGTGTCTTCTTGAGGGCTGTTGGGTGCCTGAGGCAGTGTTGGACCATCTTGGCGACCTCGGCGGCCTTCATGGATCGTACTGGAAGCCTCGGAGACCCGCAGGGAAGCGCCAGGCAGGAGAGCCTCGGGAGGTGGGGGAGTGGGATGCGCACGCGTCCGGGCTACCAGAGGAACCGCCTGAGCCCCCGTGTTTCGGAGGACCCACCAGGGGCGAAAGACGGGACGCCCCCCAGCTCCTTACCAGGTTCGGGGTTCTCGAGCCCGCTAGCCAGCTAGACGCCTAAGGAGGCGATCAGGGCTAGCCGTGTTTGGGCTGTTACGGGTGTTCGCCATCGACGAACGTTCCCAATGTGCAAAGCGTAGCATAGCATGCGTGGGCATTGCAAGGGGGGAGGGTGGTTCAGATTATTTTCAGAGCCCGTACCA